TCCCTGTTCCTGTCCCTGTCCCTGTCCCCATCCCTGTCCCTGTCCCGGTCCCTGTCCCTGTCCCTGTCCCTGGCCCTGTCCCTGTCCCTGTCCCATCCCATCCCTGTCCCATCCCTGTCTCTGTCCCATCCCCATCCCTGTCCCTGCCCCAACCCGTCCCTGTCCCATCCCTGTCCCTGTCCCATCCCCATCCCTGTCCCTGCCCCATCCCTGTCCCTGCCCAACCCCTGTCCCACCCCAATCCCATCCCTGTCCCATCCCTGTCCCTGTCCCTGTCCCATCCCATCCCATCCCATCCCTGTCCCACCCCTGTCCCTGTCCCCATCCCTGTCCCTGTCCCACCCCTGTCCCCATCCCTGTCCCCATCCCTGTCCCTGTCCCACCCCTGTCCCCATCCCTGTCCCCATCCCTGTCCCTGTCCCACCCCTGTCCCTGTCCCACCCCTGTCCCACCCCGCAGCCCTCACCAATGGGGTCTATCCAGATCCCCACGTCCCCTGGGGACACTCCGGGGTCGATGCCGTCCAGCTCCGTGTCCCCAAGTGTCACCTCCTGGTGCACGGCCTCTGCCAGCAGCTCGGCCGCCCTCGTCTGCTCGGGGCCCAGCACGGCCAGCAGCAGGGCCACCGTGTCCCCCGGGGTGGCACAGACCCGCACTGTCACCGTGCCACCTGCCAGCACCCAAATCAGCCCCCCGGGTGGCACAGGGACACCCGGGGTGGCACAGAGACACGCTGTCACCGTGCCACCTGCCAGGGACATGGCACAGGGACCCCCGACTCAGCCACGGCCCCACAGACCCCGGGGGGACCCTGACTCAGCCACGGGAATGTGGGGACATGGGGACATGGGCAGGGTGACACTGGGACATGGCGACATGGGGACTCCCTCCCTCCTCAGCCTTGGCCCCACATCCCCACATGTGTCCCTTCTGTCCCCACACCCCCCACAGATGTCCCCACCCTGCTGTCCCCAGCCTCTTGTCCCCTCACTGTCCCCACTGTCACCTCACTGTCCCCACTGTCCCATCACTGTCGCCACTGTCCCCCGACCCCCCACAGATGTCCCCACCCTGCTGTCCCCAGCCTCTTGTCCCTTCACTGTCCCCACGCTGTCCACAGCCTGCTGTCCTCACTGTCCCCTCTGTCGCCTCTGTCCCCCCAGTGTCCCGCTGTCCCCCCAGTGTCCCACTGTCCCCTCTGTCCCCTCATTGTCCCGCTGTCCCCTCTGTCCCCTCATTGTCCCGCTGTCCCCTCTGTCCCCCAGTGTCCCTGCTGTCCCCCCCCGTCCCGCTGTCCCCTCAGTGTCGCCCCTGTCCCGCTGTCCCCCCAGTGTCCCGCTGTCCCGCTGTCCCCTCACTGTCCCCCCTGTCCCAGTGTCCCCCCTGTCCCGCTGTCCCCCCAGTGTCCCCTCAGTGTCCCCCTGTCCCGCTGTCCCCACTCACCCCGCGCGTCCCTGAACTCGCTGTTCTCCTCTCCGTGGATGTGTCCCCGGAGCTCGGGGAACTGCGGCGACACCGGGGGGGGCTCAGGGGGGGCCCGGCGGGTGCCACCCCCCCCCGGCCACCCCCGGGCTGTCCCCACCTGTGTCCCCAGGTCGTGCTTGATGAGCTCCTGGATCAGGACGTCCGCCAGGGTTTTGAAGTCGCGGGGGAAGCGGCGGCCGCGCTCCGGGCCCGGCTTCTCGGTCACCGGGAGCCGGGAGAGCGGCGCCTCCGCCCGGCAGCGCCGCGCCACCTCCGCCGCCTTCTGCGACACCGCCACCAGCGCCGGCAGCAGCCCCGCCATGCCCGCGACACGGCCACACGGCGACACGGCGACACAGCGACACCGAGACACCGCGACACCGAGACACCTGCCGGGGGCAGCCGCGGGTCAGGAACGGGATGGGAAAGGCTCCGAAATGACCCAAAATGGGGACAGGGGGACACTGGGATGGGGACAGGGGGACACTGGGATGGGGACCGGGGGACACTGGGATGGGAACAGGGGGACATTGGGGTGTGGCGACAGGGGGATGTGGGAATTTGGGGACAGGGGGATGTGGGGACAGGGGGACATGTGGGACATTGGCACTTGGGGTTTTGGGGACACTGGGATGTGAGGACATGGGGACAGGGTGACATGGGGACACGGGGACAAAACTGTGGAGATGGGGTGACAGGATAACACAGGGGTGTGGGGACACGGGGACACGGGACGGGGGGACACGGGGGTGTGGGGACACGGGGACACGGGACAGGGGGACAGGTT